GGGCAGGGCACAGCACTGCAAGCACAGAGGGGAAATAAGAAACACATGTGGCCCAGTAAAGGTTATGGAGGGTGTGAGACCAAAGTGCAATCAAGGATTGAGTCAAAGAAATAATAATATTTTGAGGCCTGAACCTCTCTAGACTAACTGAATTGATGAGTGTAAATGTTATATCTGTTCAAGCTCTCAGTATGTAGTAACAGATTGTCTTGGGGACTTCCAAAAGATGGGCTGTTTTCAAGTTTCACTTTCCCTTTGATAAAATCTCTCTCTCTCTCTGTACTGGGGATAGAACCTAGAGTTATATCCTGGTTCTTTTAATTAATCAAGTAAAATTTTGAGACAAGATCTCACTAAATTGCTGAGGCTGGCCTGAAACTTGCAATCCTCATGCCTCAGCCTCCTGAGTCACTGGGATTACAGGAATGCACCATTACACCTGGTTGTATCCAAGTCTTAAGTTATCCCTTAGATGCAGAGTTTAAAAGTTTTTATAAATTATATAGGTAATATAAATTGCATTCTTCTTATATAGTATCCAAGCAATACAGATAAAGTTAGTTTCCTTTCACACCCACTCCAACCAATTCTTGAAGTCCCCTCGCAGAACCACAGTTACCAATTTAATGTGTATGCTTTTCTGGTTGTCAAACTCAATAAACTCAAGATATAATTGTACTTATAAGAAATGGATAAGTTTGCTTGTGGAGCTTTTTTATATACATTGCATAACATTCTCTGCCACCCCCCACCCCCCGGTGGGAATTGACTTGGAATTGAACCCTAGGGTACTCTACCACTAACCCACATCCCTTGCCCTTTTTATTTTTCAGTTTGAGGTAGAGTTTCCCTAAATTGTCCAGGCTGGCCTCTAATTTGCAGTTCTCCTGCCTCGGCCTCCTGAGTTGATGGGATTACAGACATCACCACTACACCTGTCTTGACATCAATCTTATTTTCAACAGATGTATGATATTTTACAGTATAGCAAACTCAAATTTCTTGCCCCTCCACCCCACCAAATGGAGAGAACTAGAGAATATAGGTCTTCCCTGGCATGACAATCCTCACTACTGAATTCCTGGTTGCCATACAACTTGCTTTTGACTGGGGAGCCAGGGAGGGAAGGACTCATACTCTTCTCTGGAGAAGTTGGATACAGAGAAAGATCCCAAGCTCAGAGTTCAAATAACATTGCATGGGAGCCTCTGTGGTTCAATCATCCTCATTCCTCTTTGGCTGTCTAGCCTAGTGCCACCCGCAAGACTCACCCACACAAGAAAGGCCATTCCAGGGAGACTATGTGTGGGGGCTGGCCCTAGATGGGGTCCACTGTAGACCCTTTTGTTCTATGGGGGGAGGAGGAGGAGGCAACCAAACAAAGACCCATTATCTGGCCAATATTGGGGAATTCTACAGCCCCCACCCCCCCATTGTCCTGAATCTCCCACCTCAGCATCAATATTATTTACTCACCTCCTGGGACTTCCTTCTTACAGCCTTCTTGGGAATCATAAGGTAACAAGGGAGGTTATTCTTTGGATCTAACTTCTATTCCTCCTGTTATAATACCAATCATTGCCCTTCTCAGTTCAGCTCAATGGTTCTATGAGTGGGACAGACGTTGGGACTGAACTCGCCCTCCCTCCTGTACTCCAAGATTACCTTTCCCCATTTCTCTCATCACTCCCTTCTCTAACTCCTTATCCTTAATATTTTCTCAGGGTACTTGGAACAGTTCAATATAGTGCATAAGAGTCTAGGTTCTGGGTTTAGGATTCAAGGACCTGACAGCAGAGAACCTTGGGCTTTGTAACTTAAGTCCCTCCCCTGATGACTTCTCCCTCACCCTCATCCTAGCTTGCCTACTGTCACCCATGGCACCAGGACTCAGGGTAGTTTGGAGAAGGAAAGGATCCATTCAATCCACTGTTTTGACTTTCTCTTGCTTATCCAACACTTGTCAGAGGGCAAGGAAAGGATGGGCCAACAAATGAAGGAAGACAGATTTAGAGAGACAAGATCTTGGGATCTCATAGAAACTTCCTTCTATTCTATCCACTCACTTAATAGATGAGGAGCAACAGAGAGAATGTGAGGCTCCAAGAAAACAAAAAGTGTAAGGAGCTGAGGCCACAACTTCAGGCTCCCTCCTTAGATTATACTCCCTGACTTTTCACTTCTGGAAAACTAAAGTTGGATACCTCTTGCCCTATTAGGGGATGAATGGGGAACAGAAGCCAGTGTTTGATCCTGTTTCTTCCCAAACTCTAATACCAATTCCTATCAGGTTCTTAGCATGGTTCTAGGGGTATGTTACTGGTTTCCAACCTGGGTCCAGCCATGCCCACTCTAAATGCTGTTCAAACTTTCTTTTACCATCTCCCTTCTCAGAATATCTTTCCTGACTCCCTCCAAATGATACATATTTTTCTCTGACTACAATACCACCTTCCTGCTTTTGCTTACTGTTTTTTGGCAATAAGGGGTACAACAAAGGCAGTGGGGGGATGCTGAAACCGGCTGAGTTGCAGGGTACCTAGACTGGGGTGGTTCCACTTACCCAAAGAAGAGAAGAGCAGCACAGCCAGGATAGGGCTGGGACTAGATGAGGGAGCCCCAGGAGCCATAGCTGGGGCAGGGGCTAGGGCCTGGAGCATCTGTGGGGTGAAGAGAGTGGGGGACAAGGAACTGAGCGGGGGTTCCTGGAACCCGCTTAAAATCCCCTGGGGCCCCAGCATGAGGGGGCTGTCCTGAGCCAGTAACCAATTACGGCCTGGCATGTGCAGTTGAGAGGTGGTGGGGGGGGGGACAGGGTGCAGAGAGCAGAAGGGGCATTGTATACTCTGGGTGGAGGGATGGGGGGGATACATACCACCCCACACACAGAGCGCTTTGTGTCTTCTGGCCTTCCCCTGCCCCAGGCTGGAATGTTGGGAGGGAGGTGAAGGAGAGGGACAGAAAAAGGGACACAAACACACTTCTCTGAGGGATAGTTAGGCAGAGAAACCTAAATCCAAAGACCATGAAATGTGATTTCTCCTTAGCCTCCTTGCCTGACAGGAGGCCCCTGAGGTCCTAGAAGCTATAAGCAATTTCCCCCCAGAGAACTCTGAAAACAGGATATCTTTTGTTATTTTTTTTAAAAATATTTATTTTTAGTTGTAGATGGACACAATACTTTTATTTTATTTATTTATTTTTATGTGGTGCTGTGGATCAAACCCAGTGTCTCACATATGCTAGGCAAGTGCTCTACCACTGAGCTACAGCTCCAACTCTCTTGTTATCTTGATTACGATAGGTTGCATTATAGATTTCTTGAGATGACCAGGTTCTTTGGGAATCTCCCTCACCCCACAATGTTCCTGCATCCTGGGAGATTCTTTCCAGAGAGAAACTTGACTGAGAAATTTCAAGGGAAGAAATCCTAGACCTTTCCCTCTTTGTTAAGAAGTTCTTTGATGACTTATGCAGCAGTTTAAGTTCATTTCAATTTAGAGCAAGACAACAAAATTGTACTGAATGCTATATGTAAAGTATGGAAATGCAGGCAATAGAAAGAGGAATAAAAATTACATCCCTCCTGCAAGTTCAAAATTTAGTTTGGAGGAAGAGGGAGAGAGGATCAGAAAACAAACCCATCAACAACCAATTACAATAAACCATGATGCTTGCTTTAGTAATGAACAAAGAGCTGGGAATACAACAGAGCACCCACACAGCTACAACATTATGAAGGTTAAGTCATGTGGGAGATTAAACACAAAAATAAACTGCATTTAATAAATGAAGTTCAGAGGAAGAGACACTCAGGTCTAAGAGGTAATGTTAGATATAGATCAACCTTGAAGGATGAGTGACATTTTGAAAATAAGGAAAGAGCAGAGAGAGTGACCAGATAGATAGAACAACAAAATTAAGTACACGAATGTGAGAAAATGTGTTTTGTGCATGCATTTTTTTGCGTGTGTGAGCTGGACAGGTTTGTGATGTACTGGGGATACTTAGGGAAGATCTGAGCCATCCACTTTAATTTGGGGGAACTTGAAGGGAAAATAAGTCTGAACAGAAAAGTTGAAGCCTTTTCCTAAGGAGCCTTTAATGATAGCTCAAAGAGGGTGAATTTAATCTGATGCATTTTACCCATCTCTTTAAGATTTTGGGGTGGAATTAGGGATGGGAATAGGACTTGGTGACTCAGGAGGCTGAGGCAGGAGGATTGCAAGTCTGAGGCCAGCCTCAGCAACTTAGGGAAATCCTGTTTCAAAATTAAGAATAAAAAGGACTGGGGATGTAGCTCAGTAGTAAAGCACCTCAATACCTACATAAATAATAAATAAGTAAAAGACCTTTTAAAATATTTTTAGGTATAGATGGACACAATACCTTTATTTATTTATTTTTATGTGGTACTGAAGGTTGAACTCAGTGCCTCACCTGTGCTAGGCAAGTGCTCTACCATTGAGCTACAACCCCAGTCCTAAACTGCACAGGTAAAATCATCATCAACAAATGTTGCAATTCTTACCTCTCCCAGCTATAAACAATCACTTTCTTCCTATCTAGTCACCACTTTTAGTTATACCTGTTTTGTGTGTTGACCACTTTCTTTGTTGTATTTCTTCAGGGATCTTGCTAAGGTTATAAATTTGTTGAGGACAATATATGTCTGTGTCTTTGAATCCCCTGTAGTAGTTTTCAGAGACTGTGGCAGAAACTCAACAGGTCATACATATTAAATGAAATTTCTTAAAAAGCTATGTAAAGCTAGCCCAGTGGTTCAAAACCAGTCTCAGCAACTTAGTGAAGACCTAAGCAACTTAGCAAGACTCTGTCTCAAAATAAAAAATAAAAAGGGTTGGGGATGTGGCTCAGCAATTAAATGCTTCTTGGTTCAATCCCCAGTACAAAAAACAAACAAACAAACAAACAAACACACAAGCAAAAAGAAAATACCCCCCCCCCCCAAAAAAAAAACCCAAACAACAACAACAGGCTAAGTGCACGAGGTCTTCATTTATTTGCTAATGTGATACTCCAGAAGGCCAAAGGAGTATCAATGACTGAAAGTTCAATAGGAGGATCAATGACTGGAAGTTCAATAGCAGAACAACTTTGTAATGATTAAGCTGTTTACTACCACAGGACGAGTTCCAGCAGTCTAGAAGATCAGCTGTTAGGGATGCTTCAGAAGCGATTTTTGTCCTTGGTAGAAGGTTGGATTATAGAGTCTTTAAGGTCCCTTCCAATCCTAAAAAATCTATAATAATGCTTTTTTATTTTATTTTATTTTTTTTTTGGTCTAGCATTATAGAAATGCAAAAATAGCATTTGGTTCAGAAATAAATGAATTTGTGCTATTTAAATCCTGAAAGTAAAAATTCGGGAGTGCTAAATATAAATGAGATCTGAATATTAATGTGACTGAACATGTTTTATTGTAGAATAGGAGTTCTTCTGGGCTGTGACCTCCACTCCCGCCTCGTTTCCCTTTCCCCGCAAAAGGGCCAAGATCTTTTGCATTGTTTTATTCCTTTCTCACTTGATTTTTTTTCTCTCTCCAGTCGTGAGTTCTCTGAAATTGATCACCACGCTTGGGTTCCTCAAAACTGTTTATATGCAGTATGTATAAATCAAAGCAGGTTCTCCCCCATATCTCAGGTTCTTCTGATGGTGGGTGTTGCCCACACAGCACTGAAACAAGGAACAAGGGAGCGTTGTCTTTGGCTGGTGGGCGCCTAGCTCAGGCAGCAGCTCAAGCCTAGGAATCCTGAGGCCTGATTATACGTCCCCCATTCTTGGGTTCCTCATCTTGTTGAGGTGACTGCAAGGTCCTCTAGTGGACCCATCTCACATTCCCCTGAGTGGGTCTCAACCTGTGTATCTATCTGACCAAAACATTAGAATGAGAAGAAGCCCAAAGTATCTTTTGCGCCGTTGTCTCAGCCAACCAACTCTGATATTTTTAGGCTGGCCAGGGAGGGAGGTGGAGTCAAACTCCGACTCAGTGAAGACTGTGGGCAAATTCTTGCTGATTGGAAGGGAGATTAAAAAAAAAAAATGAACACATACGCGGGTGGCAGATTCTAAACCCAGCGGAATCTCTGCTGCAGTCCTGGCAAAAACCGTTAGGAAGAGGGGGAGAACAAACTATTTCCGAACATCTGCCACCAAAAGCGCAGAACCTAGAGCAGAGGCGCGAAGCCTTTTAAAGAACTCGGTGTCATCACGTGACGACTCTTCGGGGCTTCACCCCCGCCCCAGCTCAGACGCCCCGCCGCTTGCGTCACTTCCGTCCAGACCGGAACCCAAGATGGCTGTGCTCTTGTTGAGGTGACTTTAGCGCGGGGGTTGGGAGTCGGTGTCCGCGACCCTTGGGAGACCAGAACGGATCCTTAACGTTTGGCTGACAGCGCTTTACCCTGTGCCTGGGCTGGGAAATGACCCGTGGGTGTGGAGGCCACCGCTCCGGGATCCTAGAGACACCCCCCTCCCCCAGCCGCTCGGGTGCAGCTCGGTAGGGCTTTGAGGTCACTTAACTCCGTACCGAGGAGTGGCGCGGTTCTTGCCCTTTCTACTTTCCCCTGCTTTAGTACTTCTCCCCCAGATTACTCTCGTGACCCCAAAACCCAGAGCCGAGACCAGAAAATATTCTAACTCAGCTGACCATGAGTTTTACAATTTCGAGATCTTATTTAGGGATTGGGCCTCGGGGCGGAGGGAGAGATCTTGGTGTTCTTACTTTTGCTTCTAACTTCTGCAGACACCAGCGGTTGCTGGCAATGGGTGACTCTGTCCAGGTTCCCGACAGGCCCGTAGCAGAGGATGGAAGAAGCCTGGACCACTACGAGGCCGGCGATTAGCAATAACAACGAGAGGTCCTCTGCTGCACCCTAGGGAGTTCGTTTTTAGTTTATCTTTTTACTTGGGGTTAAAGGGCGATGATCCCAGCTTTTCTCTAAAAGGTCAATTCACTATCGGTAGTAATATCCTAGATTTTCTTCCATTTAGAACTCTCCACTGTTTAGGTCTCATTTTCTACTCCCAAGACTTTCTAGTCCTTAGCCTCTAGCGCCTGTGGATATTCCTGGTACAAATCCCAGTATAATTCTGTGCCAGCCCTATTTTTGGAAACTATTTGTTATGGAAGGTTAGCTTAAATGCTGTTGAGATTTCAATTCCCGATTTCCCCAAATGTCTTCTCATTTCTCTTTCCACTTCAGTCAGGCAATATAAAAATAGGGGATTTTGTTTAGTTTTTCTCTGTGACGAAATTATTCCTCTTGGGAGTTGAGATCAGTTATTTTAATCCTTTATTTTCTCTTTGCCTTTTATCTTCGTATGTGTCTTTTCTCTCAGATATGCCGAGGCCAGTCTTGCTGGAGCTCCTTCCTTTTTTCCAGTTGACTTGATCATAATTGAATGGCTTTGGATTTTGATATCATACTTTAGTAGATGTTAGGAGCTTTTGGAGGAGTTAACATTTAGCTTGAAATGATCGTATTTGTTCTAAACAGTTCATTTGATGAGCTTCAGGATTAGTGATTAGAAGCTGAGGGTCATTACAGTCACCCCTTATTATCCTTGGGTTTTGTCTCCATGGGTTCAAATACTTGAAAAACAAATTCCAGAAAGTTACAAGAAGTTACTTGAATTTGCTGCCTGCCAAGCATTATGCTGAGTCCACATAAATGAAGTAGTGTTTAGGCATACTGCATTAGCCTCCCAGCATTTCATAGATCCTCAGTCTCTCCTCTCTACAGAACTTACTATTTCAGAGTTAATTGCTACACTTTCTGTTTACATACTGTGCAGTCTTCAACTATGATTGTTGTACCTGGACTGCACTATGTATTGTTTTTTCTTTGTGGTTCCTTAAATAATACAATGTAACAACTATTCACACAGCATTCACATTATATTGGCCATTCTGAATAGTCTGGAGATGATTAAAGTATATAGGAATAGCTGTATTTGTTGGCTAATGCCTGCAGTCCCAGGAACTCAGGAGGCTCAGGCAGAAGGATCACTAATTCCAGACCAGCCTCAGCAATTTAGTGAGATTTTATCTGAAAAAGAGGGGGGAGTGGGCATTGCTGGGGATGTAACTCAGTGGTAAAGCACCCCAGTGTTCAATCCCCAGTACCAAAAGATTAAAAAAATAATAATAATAAGGTGAATGTACGTAGGATATATGCAATCACCAAGTGTATCCAGACAGTGTCATTTTATGTTGTGTAGCACTGTTCTGTCCATACTAGGATTCAATGCCAAGAAATACACTTCTTTTTCATTAGTGGTAACCTTAAGCTCTTATGGAAGGGCACTTTTCTATTTCTCACAAGGGCTTTTATTTATTTATTGGATGGAGAAATAGTGAATTAAAACTGTTTTTCCCCCATAGAAGATTCCATCCTAATACCATTTCAACTAGAGGAATTTGATACTGTTTATAGTATACTGATTTTAATCTCAAAGGAAGGTATCTTTTAAGAAATTCTAAGGGTTGCTTTTCACTTATTTTGGACAAGTCAGGGTCCTTAGTTCTATGATTGTAGTTTCTTCATTTGTGAGTTGAAAATAGTAATAACTTGAGCCCACTTAGGAGAAATAATAAATTTCACAAAATGTGTATTTTCACTTGATGAATACAAATTGTGTATATTTATGGTGTACAATTTGATGTTCTAAAATATGTATACATTGTGCTAAATATAGCTAGTCAACATATATAGTACCCATGTGCTTGTGTGTATGTGTATGTGTGTCATACTTGAAATCTACTTTAAGGAGTTTGGGGCAGAGGGTGGGGGGTACCAGGGACTGGACCCAGAGGCGTTTAACCACGGAGCCACATCCCTAGACCTTTTTATATTTTATTTAGAGACAGGGTCTCACTGAGTTACTGAAGCTTAATCTAATCTCAAAATCCTCCTGCCTCAGCTTCCTGAGTTGCTGGGATTACAGTTGTATGCCACCGTGCTGGCTCTAAGCAATTTTTTTTTCTTTTCTTTTTTTGGTACCTGGGATTGAACTCAGGGGTGCCCTACCACTAAGTTACATCCCCAACCCTTTTTTAAAAATATTTATTTGGAGACAGGGCCTCAGAAATTGCCAGAGCTGGTCTTAAACTGATCCTCCTGCTTCAGCCCCTCGAGTAGCTGGATGTGCCACCATGCCCAGCTGCAGTTTTCAAGTGTATAATACATTGTTATTAACTGTAAATCACCACTTTAAACACTGAACAATATAGACATGTATAAAGGTATTCTGTAGTACTTTCATTAATATGTGCAATTTTTTATGTATCAGTTGAAGTTTATACATTTTTAAAATTTAAATCGAAAATTACCATGTTTTCAAGAGAGCTCTAGAGCTTATTTGTATGTAAGTGAAATTTTCAATCCATTACCACCATTTCCCTAAACTCTTCCCTTCTCCCTCTTAAATAATTTTCTTTCTTTGTACTGAGGATTGAACCCAGGGATGCTTTACTACTGTGCTACATCTCCAGTCTTTTTTATTTATACTCTATTTTTTGGTATCAGGATTGAACCAAAGGTTGCTTAACCACTGAGCCACATCCCCAGTCCTTTTTTATGTTTATTTTGAGGCAGGATCTCTAAGTCTTTAGGGTCTTAGAGACCCTATGGTTTCACTAAGTTGCTGAGGTTGATCTTGAATTTGGGTTCCACTTACTCCTGCCTGGGTTGCTAGGATTACAGACGTGCTCCACTGTATCGGATTCAGTCCTTTTTATTTTTTATTTTGAGAGCGTCCTGCCTCAGTCTTTTAAGTTGTTGGGATTATATGAGTGCACTCCCACTCTTGGCTCCAGTTAAAAATTTTTGATGCTTGGCTAATTAAAAATTATTAGTTATCAGAATATTGTAGCTATGCATGGTGGCGCACACCTGTAATCCCAGTGGCTCAGGAGACGGAGGAAGGAGGATCAAAAGTGCAAAGCCAACCTCATCAAAAGCGAGGCACTAAACAACTCAGTGAGACCCTGTCTCTAAATAAAATATGAAAATAGGGCTGGGGATGTGGTTCAGTGCCCCTGATTTCAATCCCCAGTTTCCCCTCCAAAAAAGAATATTATATTTCATAGCCTTTGAATAGTGCTTCATATTTTGTATATTCCCTAAACAGTCCAGGGACCAGCCAGAGCTGTTCACAGCTGAGTAACACGAATTCGATTGACACTCAAGGAATGACTTTCCAAGGCCAAGAAGGAGATAGATAGAGACAGCTGGGCTTCCATCTAATAATGTTTATGCCACTTAAGCACAGTCACTGTGATTCAACTGTCTGGTCAATATATGTAGCACAGTGGTAGGGTGCTTGCCTAGCAAGTGTGAGGCCCTGGGTGTGATCCCCAGCACTAGGGGAAAAAGAAAAAAATTAGTTCTCAGTTATTATAGGTGCTATCAATGTCAGGAATTTCAGTCTTGCCCTTGTGGAGCTCAAAGTCTAGAAGGAGAGATAAATAGATGAATCATTAAACAACATAGCAAATGATGATAGAAACATGTATGAGAGCCTGGCTGATAGAGCAAGGCTGAAGAAGTGACTTGATCTTGCCATCTAGGAGTTGGGTTTTGATGGATGAGTTTAAGAGGCTGTAAGGAGGGCTGGGGATGTGGCTCAAGTAATAGCGCGCTTGCCTAGCATGCGTGAGACACTGGGTTCGATCCTCAGCACCACATAAAAATAAAATAAAGATATTGTCCACCTAAAGCTAAAAAATAAATATTAAAAAAAAAGAGGCTGTAAGGAGTTCCAATTAGAAGAGCATGAGCAAAGACGTGTAGTCATAAGGAGGCTTGTTCTGTCTGGGCATAATGTAATGTTCAGTGTGTCAGAAGTATAGGGGACTGATGGGAATTTGTGAGAGGGTAGGTCTGGAGAGTTTGCCCACACTTTGACTCTTATATAGCAATGCAAGTAGTGGATGTAAGAATGAGAGTAACTTTATTTTTCAGTACATTCATGTTGTTGAAGTTGAATGATAGGGAAGAGACTGTTGCTAGGTAGGTCAGTTCAGAAGCTCCTGTTACAGTTCTGGGGAGAAATATATAAAGAAGATATGGACTAAAGTAATGGACTGGAATGAAATTTTCTAAATAGTAATGGTAGAATTGGATGATGCCATGCATATATATAGGTGGTGACAGAAAAGGAGAAGTCAAAGATGACTTATGTTATAGCTTGGGAGTTAGTGTCAGATGCACACCTATGACCCCAGTGATTCCCGAAGCTGGGCTGAGGCAGGAGGATTGCAAGTTAGAGGCCAGCCTCAACAACTTAGCACGACCCTGTCTCAAAATTAAAAGAGACCTGGGGATATAGCTCAGTAGTAAAAATGCCCTGGGTTCAATCACTCGTACCAAAAAAATAAATTGTTCATTTCATTTAAGATTATATGTATCTGTTTTATTATTGCAAATGCATATGTTTATAAGACCTTTTCAATGCCATCAAATCAAGTTTATAAATCATATAAAAGAAGCTCATTATATTGCAGTCATGTCTTGTTTTGAATTAAAAATGGTCTTCAGTTTGATCACAGACATGGCTTTGAATAACCTTTTTTTTTTTCCAAATGAGTGTTTTTATCATCACTGAATGTTTCGAAGAAAATGTGATAAGAATTCTAAAGACCAATGAAGTTCTTCTTAGGGAGACCAGCGAACTGATCTCTTACACATAAATGGTGTATTATAGTTCAGAGAATGCTTTCCTGTATGTTTTCTTCCTCTTTTTTTTTTTTAATTTTCTTTTGCGTTGGGGATTGACCCTGTGGGCGTTTAACCACTGAGCCACATCCCCAGTTTTTAAAAAAATGTTATTTATTTATTTATTTATGGTGATGGGAATTGAACCCATGGCCTTGTGCATGCAAGGCAAGTACTCTACCAACTGAGCTGTATCCACAGCTCCCCCCCTTTTTTTTTTATTATTATTTTT